TATTATTTATATATACAATATATATATATATATATATATGTATATATATATATATATATATATATATATATATATATATATATATGCCTGATGTTACTTAAACACTATAAAAATGAAATAAAATGGATTTTAAATATACCTGTAATGCAGTTATTCCCTTATTAGTGCCAGCTATTTTGAAATCCATGTCACCATTGTAATCTTCAATTCCCTTTAGGAATTTAAGAAATTAAGATAAAGTTTAAACAAAAACAAAATTCAACCATATTCACTGTAGAAGAAGTTCAAAAAACCAGTTTAGAAGTAAACCATGTCCTCTAAGAGCAAACACAAAGAAATATCTATTTTAACTACTGCTTCTAATCTGTGACTAATTTAAGCTACGAATATTTTCATCACAATTATTACTTTATTTCTAGATGTCTCTCTCCCATAAATGAATAAAGATGAACTTATAAGCATTGTAAAGTAGGCCATTATGCATATTTATACTGTAACACATAGTTTAACTCACAGCCTATAAAATTCAAGATGAACACACAGAAGAGGAAATTAAGAGCTAGTATTTTTATTCCTTGGGTACTAGCATTCTTCTAGATACTTATAAAAAGTATGTATAGTCTTCTCAGTTAAATATTTCAAACTGGAAATATACTTGCCAGAATATCTGTCAGTAAACGATAATCTTCTATTTCACCCTTCTCAGCATTGTTTTTGGTGACCAATCCTACTGCTACACCTGCAACAGCAGATGAAATTGGAACTCCTGCAATTGAAAAAGAACTTTTATGTGTAATATGTACACTGGTCAAACCAAAAGTACAGAAGACCCAGAAGAACATGGAGATTAGAAATACTGACTTCCTATTCAGTCAAAAATCTGCACATAACTTTTGACTCATCCAAGTTGTAACTACTAATAGCCTACTGTTGATTGGAAGCATTATGACTAGATGCTTTACTGATAACATAAACGTTGTTATCACATATTTTGTACATTATATATATTACATACTATATTCTTAAGATGCAGTAAGTTATAGAAAGTCATTAAAAAATCATTAAAATTTACAGTAGTGTACTATATTTTCCAAAATATTTCCTGAAAATAAAAAAATCTCTAAGTACATTCATAGTTCAAACATGTACTATTCAAGAGTCAACTGTATTTATCATTCTATTAGCATTCATCTTTTTTTATTACCAGAGGACACATGTGCTTACCAGAGAGAGAGTGACAAAGCAGGAGACAGGAAGGGAGAAAGCACTACCTAAAAAGGCATGGTCACACCGTGATCCTTTTTCCTCCATTCTATTAGGATTTGGGGCAGGCATAGACATGTCTGGAGTGGTTTTTTTTTGCCACAGGGAACGTGTGCTTTCTGGGCTCTTTTTATTGAAGCCATAGGGAGCCAGAATATGAACTGTAGTCAGTCATGTGAGATATGACTTCAGTAACCATCAGGCCATGGGTAGGCCCTTAGAATAATTTTCATATAGTATATAATAATTGATATCCTGTAGAATACTACTCCATGAAATACTGAGCTATAAAAATGCTAGCTTTAAATTCAAATCCCTTAGTATAACAATGTTCTTCAGAGTTTGGTTCTTGTTTATTATTCACCACTTCTTTTGCATATACACCAGAAACACACTACACTGCTTCATAACTTGCTCATGCTGCTCCTTTCATGTGAAATACAGGCCTATCTCCTGCTAGTCAACAACTACTCAGCCTTTTTTTTTTTTTTTTGGAGAGGTTTTTGCTACAGGGCTTGTGCGCTCGCCAGACAGACAGAGAGAGACATAGAGACAGAAAGCGAGAAATCACCCCCCAGGGGGGATGGTCATGCCACAATCCCTTCTCCTCCATTCTCCTCTTGGGATCTTGGGCACGCACGCACATGCGCCCGGTGTGCGATTTAAGCCACTGGGACGCAAACCGCGGTCGACTACGTGGGAGTCCCGCGACATAGTCATTATGCTAACTGCTGGTTCCCAACAACTACTCAGCCTTTAAAACCAGATGAGGCATTTGAGCTGTGAACTATTCTTTTCAGGGACTAAGACTACTGAAAATTTTCTGCTGAGACTTTGCCTTCCAGATCTCAATCCACAGAGTGGTAGGGCACCCTCTGTATCCTTCTGTCTCTCTAATTTTTTAAAAATTTGAAACATTTAAGGTAAAGTATTTTCTTGGTTCTCAGATCCTCCTTTATCTTGCTAATTCTCATCCTTCCCCTCTCCCATTTAGGAGAGGCAAAAGCACAGGTCTTCTGAGAAGACCGTGCATTTGAGCTGTGATCTATTCCATGGGCTGCGCAGTTTTCATTTTTTTGCTTAAAAAAAAATAAAATATTTTATATTGTTTTTATTTCCTTTTTTTTGTCTTTCCTTTTCCCTTCATCATTTTGCTGTTCAGCCTCTACACACTGAGTGTCTAGATAAGTCTAAGTGAACGGTAGCCAAACATCTGAATACTATTAGGGTCAGAATATTCCTCAATTCTCACTGAATCTGCCGCACAAATGGAAAAAAATGGAACTGCAGAGAGATTGCAGATCACCTCCTCCTGCAAGCCTCTGAACACTCAGAAAACTTCAAGAAATTAGGAAGAAATGTATAATCCATCAGATGACCAGAAATCACCACAGAGGCACAAGAAATATGAGAAACCAAGAAAATACTTCCCCCAAGGGAAAAGAAAAACTCCTCACCACCCACGACAATACAATGAAACTCAAGGAAATGTCAGATAAAGAATTCAGAATATTCATAGGATAAAGCTAACAGAGATGCAAGAGAAGAGGAAAATAAACTCCAGAAGGTGCAGGCAAAAAGAGCTGATGAGTTCCAGGAGGTGAGGAAGTTCTTTTATGATCTGAAAGAGGAAATACACATCATAAAAAAGAATCAAATGGAAATGTTAAAGATGAAGGCTGTAATACAGGAAATCAAAACCTCCATTGAAAGGATCAAAAGCAACTAGATCATACAGAAAACTAAATCTTGGATGTAGAACAGAATCACTGGGCTAGAAAAATCCACCACAAAGTCTGAGAAAATAGCCCAAAAAGAAGAGAATAATATACAAGAAATATTAGATACCATTAAACATCCAAACATCTAGATAATCAGTATCCCAGAAGGTGAAGAAACTAATAAGGGTGTTGATAATCTATTCCGTGAAATCCTGGAAGAAAACTTTCCAAGCCTAGAGAGGCATTCAAAGATCCAGACTCAAGAAATACAAAAGACCCCACACACAATCAACCCCAAGATGATTTTCTCCAAGACACATCATAGCCAGATTGACCAAACTCACAGACGAAGACAAGACACTGAAATTGGCAAGAGAAAAATAAATGTAAAGTTACTTACAAAGGATATCCCATGGATCTGACAGTGGACCTCTCATCAGAAACAGTGCAAACAAGGAAAGAATGAGAACATACATTCAAAATGTTAAGTCAAAGACAATTTCAACCAAGAATACTATACCCGGCAAGTTTATCCTTCCAATGGGAAGAAAATATAAAGGCATTCTCAGATAAACAAAACCTGAAAGAATTTACCAACACCAGACCAGCTCTCCAAGAAGTGCTGAATGGAGTGCTATACCAAGAAAACTAAATACAGACACACAGAAATAAGAGTTCAAAAACGACCAAGAAAATGGCCAACTTAATGGTAAGAACAAGTCCAGAATTGAGTGTTATGATCCCGAATTTGAATGGGAAGAAAGAACCACAAGAAAAGAGAGATTAATTATATGAGACTAAACTGGTGAAACAGTGTTTTATGACTTTTGACTAGAACATTACTGATTTTCTTCTATGCTTTGTTTTCCAGATTTAGGGATTTTTGTCTTCTCTTGAGCTGTTGGTAGGTCCATATACCTATTATTTGAACAGGATCCTAACCTGTTTCCTGGCTTTAAGTCTTAAACAAATTTGTCTTGGCATTTTTAAAAATTTTGGTTTATTAAAGCTAAAACTACTATTCTTAAAATTAAAAAGAACTATTAAAAAAATCTACTTAAGGACTGCAGTAAGCTATATAGCCTCGCGAGGTGCTACTTTATAGTATCTTCATTCTACTCATGAAGTTTTTAAATGTATTTATTTACATTCACTCGCTGTACATTAATATAGTATATGAAATGAGATTTTCCATCCAGAATGCACTGTATATTGGCTTAAACAAGGATATTACCAGATATGTTATCATCAGTAAGTAATTTTCTATTTCTTGTTTCTTAAATATTTGCATCCCCCCTTGATTCCCTACCTATCAACCTCTGCCATGTCCCACCTTCCTCCCACACTGTCCCGGGTTATCTACAGTTGTTTTACATGCCTTCTTTCCCCCCACACACTTTATTGATTCACTAAAGATCTTAATTAATCTAAAAACTTTCAATAGCAAGCACAGCTGATATATACATATATATGAGCGTTATGTCTAACTTCATGCGTAAACCTCAGTGAGTAAAGTGAACATACTATAAAGTAGCACCATGCTGGGGTTATATAGCTTACTACAGTCATTAAATAGGTATTTTTAAAAATTATTTAATTTTATTTATTTATTCATTTTAATTTGACCAGAGAGAGACACAGAGAGAGGGAAAGCAAGCCACAAGGTCAAGAACTTGAACTGTGGTCAGCCAGCCATGTGGAGTGTCCAGTGCCTTAACCACCATGGCACCTGCTGGTCCCTTAAATAGGCATTTTTTAATGCATTTTTTAATTTCAAGAAAAACAGTTTTAGTTTTAAAAGATCAAAATAAAAAAAATGTTAAGATAATATTCTTAAAATTTAAAGCCAAGAAAAAGGTTAGGATTCAGTTTGAACAGTAGGTAGATCAAACTATCAATGGTTAACCGAAGACAAAAATCCTTAAATCTGGAAAACAAAGCATATAAGAAAATCAGTAATGTTTTAGTCAAAAGTCATAAAATTCTATTTTTCATGTAATTAATCTCTCTTCGGTTAAATATGCAGTGTTACTGTGGTGTGATCTTTCCATTTAAACTCTGAAAGTTAACATTCAACTCTGAACTGTCCCTACCATCAGGCTGGCCATTATCTTGGTTGTTCTCTGTACTCTTTTTTTCTGTGTGTCTGACTAGCTTTCCTGGGATAGCACTTCTTGAAGAGCTGGTCGGGTATTGGTAAATTCTTTCAGGTTTTGTTTACCTGAGAGTGTTTTTGTCTTTTTTTACCTATATGAAGGATAATCTTGCTGGGTAGTTTTCTTGGTTGAAATTTTTCTTCACTTAGCACTTTTATACATATTCCCATTCTTTCCTTGCTTGCGTTGTTTCCAATGAGAGGTCTGATGTTTGCCTAATGGGATATCCTTTGAAAGTAACCTGTTTTTCTCTTTCCAAATTTAGTATCTTATCTCTGTCTGTGGCTTTGGTCAATCTGGCTATGATGTGTGCCTTGGAGAAGATCTTCTTGGGTTGATTCTATGTGGGGTCCTTTGTATTTCTTGGGTCTGGATATTTGAATACCTCTCAGGGTTTGCAAAGTTTTCTTTTAGGATTTCATGGAATAGATGATCAATGCCTTTACTCATTTCTTCACCTTCTGGGATACTGATGATCTGGATGTTTGGACATTTAATAGTATAAAGTATTACTTGTATGTTATTCTCATTTTGGGGGGTTATTTTCTCAGACTTTTTTGTGAATTATTCTAGGTCAGAAGTTCTATCTTCTACATCTGAGAGTTGACTTTCTGCATGATTTAATCTGCTTTTAATACTTTCAAGGAAGGCTTTGACTCCCTGTATTATGGCCTTCATCTCTAACAATTTCATTTGATTATTTTTTACAGTGTGTATTTCCTCTTTCAGATCGTGCAAGAACTTCCTCACCTCCTGGAACTTGTTGTGACTTTTCTCTTGCCTCTTCTGGAGTCTGTTGTCTCTCTCTTCTTGCATTTCTTAGCTTTGTCACTATGAATATTTTAAATTCTTTATCTGACACTCCATGAGTTCCTTTGTATTGTCTGTGGAGGATGAAGAGTTATTCTTTTAAGCCCTTAGCGGAGAGATACTGTCTTGGTTTCTCATATTTCTCATGCCTCTGTGATGGTTTCTGGTCATCTGATGGATTATATATTTTCTTTTCCTAGTTTTTGGAGTTAAATGTTGCATTCAGAGGCATGCAAGGGGAGGTGGTCTGCAATCTCTAAACAGTACCATTTTTCCCCCTTTGTGCAGCAGACTCAATGGAAATTGAGGATTAATTTGACCCTAAGAGGGTCAATATTAAGATATTCAATATTCAGATATTTGGCTACTGTGCACCTAGACGTGTCTGGACACTCAATGTGCGGAGGCTGAGCAGAAAAGTAAAAAGCAAAGGAAAATGAAAACAACGCAAAAAAAGAGGAAAAACAAGGCAAAAACAATCAAAAGAAAAGAAATTTATTTTTTAAGCAAAAAATGAAAACTGTGTGGTACGCTAGTGTGCTGCCAAAAGTGGCCATTCAGAACTCAGATATAAATGGCTGGTGATTGGCTTGTCTTGGCTCCTGGCTAGATCTAGGAGTGCAGGAGGGTGAAATTTGAGCAGAAGGTCTTCAGTGGTCCTAATCTCTGAAAGGGGCTGCTAAGAACTCCCTACTCACAAGAGTTTCATGCCTCACGTCACACGGGTGCTCACAGATGTGTATATATCAGCTGAACTTGCTATTGAAAGTATTTAATTAATATATTTTATGAGTCAATAAAATGTGGGGAAAAACTGAATGGAAAGCAAGTGTAGATAACAGAGACAGTGTGGGTAGAGGGTGCGAAATGGCAGAGGGTGAGAAATAGGGAATAAAAAAAAGTAAAGAAAAAATATATAAGAAACAAAACATGGAAAATTATTTATTGATGATAACATGTATGATTAAGTCAATATACAGTGTATCCTAGATGGGAAACTGCATGTTCTATGCTGTGATGATATTCAGTGACTGTGAAATAAATCAATTTAAAATAAAAAAAATAAAACAAACAAAAAAGAACCCAGATGAAATGTAAGCATTTCTCTGGGCCAATCACCCTCAACCTAGTTTATCATTCACTTCTGTATGGCTTATACATATTTGTATTATTATCTCTTTGATCTGTTCCTATGATTAGGTCATTAAGCAAACTGGTTGATACGTGAGATGCTTAAAGATGATGTCTTGTGGTGTGTTGTGGTGCCATAGTATATGTCATACTTCATATGACATCACACTAGAATAATGTCATTCTATCCATACAAGTGCCAGAAAGTAACAAGACATACCACAATACAATGATATAAATATGGCATAATCATTTTTATTTACTCTAAGTACTACTATGGATGGACAATAAAATACAAATTTATAAATGAAATATTTACTCTTGTGTGATTGAGAATACTTCACGTATCAAATACTAACTGCCTGCAGGAAACAGACAAAGACTGTGAAAGGGGATTCCCCATGCTGAATACCTGGTCCTAAATTCCTGCAGTTGTTAAGCAGGTGAGTCATTAAGTGAGGAGTGTTTGCTATTTTCAGAGTACTGTCTTTAGGTAACCATAACAATTCTAGCAAATATATGGATATTTGAAGCTTTGGAACTATCTTGTCTTACTGAAATCTAATTTTAAAAGTCTTGTATTTTATATGAACCAGGTGAATGCAAAGTGACATTAGCAGTTTAAAAATGTATTTTTTATTTTACCTGCATCCATCAGTGCTAAACTTCCACCACATGCAGATGCCATAGAGGATGATCCTATAGAAAGAAAAACAGTTCCTTTATAATATACAGATTTTTTTTAAGAGGAAGAAAACTGTTACTATTGGTTATTTTCTTACAGATATTTAACTATAAATACTCATTAGTCTTATCTTCCTTCCTCATTTTATTTTTTAAAGTTTTGCCACAGGGTATGTGTGCTCATTGGAGAGAGATAGAAAAAGAAAGAGAGAGAAAGTGAGAAGTCACCCCCCAAGGAGGCCTCCCTCCCTCCCTCCTCCTCTCCCTCTCTTTTTCCTTTCAAAGTTTTATTCCATAGAGCAGATGTGCCTGCCAGTAAGAAGTGAAGTGAGCAATCTCCCCCCAGAGGGGATGGCCACACAGCAATCTCTTTTCCTTCAATCACTTCCTGAGACTGAGTATGTACACACACGTGCCTGGTATGATTTTAAAGCCTCTGGGATTTAAACCACAGTCAGCCATGTGGGAGTCCTGTGCCTTGCCACCAAACCACCTGGTGCCCCCAACCCAGTGTAACTTTCAGGCTTCTAGGTCTGGGACTCAAACCACGCCACAGCCCAAGACGGATCCAGCACTTTAACTTTCACATCACCTGCTGGCATTTTAAAAGCATTTAAGGCAAGCTACTGTAAGCCACAAACTATAGACTACACATAGTCCCATATGGCTACGTATATTTAAATTATTTGAAATAAATTCAGGTCTTCAACTGGATAGTACAGCTATCAAGGATTTTCATCATCACATACATTTCTATTGGACAGTACTGCACAAAGATTCTGATTCTGTGCCAGTTAGTGATTAAATTAATTAAATATATTTTCTCTTGCAATAGGCTTAGATCTTGTAATAATAAACATAATAACATAACATAATCTCTTGGGATTTGGGGCACAAAAATTTTTTAAAGAGAGATTTTTGCTATAAGGGTGCGTGTGCTTTCCAGAGGGACATAGAGAGACAGAGACACGGAAAGTGAGAAATCACCCCCAAGGGGAGATGGCCACACTGCAATATTCTCTTCCATTATCCTCTTGGAATCTTTGGCATGCACACACATGCACCCAGCATCAGTTTGAAGCCTCCCAGTCTGGGACTTGAACCGTGGTTGGCCATATGGGAGTCCAGTGACATAACCATTATGCCATCTGCTGGTCCTATAACATTACTTTTGACAAGTTAAGAATATAATAAGGAATCTAGTATTTTTTTTTACCAGAAAAGAAACTTTTTATTACCATACCATTTGACTCTAAGAAACCTCTCCCTCTCTTTTTCCTTTCAAAGTTTTATTCCATAGAGCAGATGTGCCTGCCAGTAAGAAGTGAAGTGAGCAATCTCCCCCCAGAGGGGATGGCCACACAGCAATCTCTTTTCCTTCAATCACTTCCTGAGACTGAGTATGTACACACACGTGCCTGGTATGATTTTAAAGCCTCTGGGATTTAAACCACAGTCAGCCATGTGGGAGTCCTGTGCCTTGCCACCAAACCACCTGGTGCCCCCAACCCAGTGTAACTTTCAGGCTTCTAGGTCTGGGACTCAAACCACGCCACAGCCCAAGACGGATCCAGCACTTTAACTTTCACATCACCTGCTGGCATTTTAAAAGCATTTAAGGCAAGCTACTGTAAGCCACAAACTATAGACTACACATAGTCCCATATGGCTACGTATATTTAAATTATTTGAAATAAATTCAGGTCTTCAACTGGATAGTACAGCTATCAAGGATTTTCATCATCACATACATTTCTATTGGACAGTACTGCACAAAGATTCTGATTCTGTGCCAGTTAGTGATTAAATTAATTAAATATATTTTCTCTTGCAATAGGCTTAGATCTTGTAATAATAAACATAATAACATAACATAATCTCTTGGGATTTGGGGCACAAAAATTTTTTAAAGAGAGATTTTTGCTATAAGGGTGCGTGTGCTTTCCAGAGGGACATAGAGAGACAGAGACACGGAAAGTGAGAAATCACCCCCAAGGGGAGATGGCCACACTGCAATATTCTCTTCCATTATCCTCTTGGAATCTTTGGCATGCACACACATGCACCCAGCATCAGTTTGAAGCCTCCCAGTCTGGGACTTGAACCGTGGTTGGCCATATGGGAGTCCAGTGACATAACCATTATGCCATCTGCTGGTCCTATAACATTACTTTTGACAAGTTAAGAATATAATAAGGAATCTAGTATTTTTTTTTACCAGAAAAGAAACTTTTTATTACCATACCATTTGACTCTAAGAAACTTTTTATTACCATACCATTTGACTCTAAGACTTCAGATGTGACTCTTATAGTGAAAGGAAAATCCTTTGGAATAACAGGATACAAGGCTTTCTCAGCAAGTGCACCTAAATTAAAATAGAAAAGAATAAGCAAAATATGTACTAAGTCTGGGTAAAAATATAAGGTTTACAGATTTGTACTCACCATGCCCAAGTTCTCTTCTGTTTACACCAGTGACTTTGCCAATTTCATTAGTTGCATAAGGAGGAAACTTAAAAAAAAAAATACACACACATAGACAAGTTATATAGAAAGATGTCCAAGATATTTTATCAAAATAACAAGTCATAAAACTTGTACAATCCCATTTTTGTTTAGGAAATAAAGTGTGCCCATACACACACATGCGCGCGCACACACACACAAACGTACATATACTTATGTGGCAACTTTTAGATTTACCCCATAATATATACTTTAGATTACCATATGGATAGATTTATAACTATCTATCTTTTTTCTTTTTTTTTTGGAGAGGTTTCTGCTATAGGGAGCATGTGCTTGCCAAAAAGACAGAGAAGGACAGAAAGTGAGAAATCACCCCCCAGAGGGGATGACCATGCTGCAATCCCTTCTCCTCCATTCTCCTCTCAGGATCTTGGGCACACATGGACACGCACCTGGCGTGAGTTTAAGCTACTGGGTCCGGGATTTGAACTGGGGTCGACTACATGGGAGACCAGCGACATAGTCATTACGCCATCTGCTGGTCCCATAACTATCTATCTCTGAGGAGAGATGGAGGAGAAAGGATTGTGGCATGACCATCCCTCATGGGATGTACTTTCTCACTTTCACTCTCTGGTACGTGTATGTGTCCTCTAACAAACAAAAAAAAGTTCATTATGCTATGTCTGGTTCCTTAGAATTAGTTGTAAATAAAGTCAACCACAAACTCAATTATATAGGATAATTTTACATAAAGTAATTTAATAGTAAATACAGCATATCTTTTACTACTAATCAATTAAATAAAAATATGAACATTTAGGGCTAGCCAGGTAGAGTGTGGTTGAGGCCCTGGATCCCATATGGCTGACCGTGCAGTTTGAGTCCTGGATCCAGTGGTTAGAAAAACATGCCTGGCATGAGTGCATGTGTGCCCACAATCTCCAGAGAAAGGGTAGAAGAGAAGAAGGACTGTGATGTGGCCATCATCTCTGGGGGATGCTTTCTTTATTTTCTCTCTCTCCCTGCTCTGTCTCTCTGGCAAGCATGTACACCCTATTAATAATTTTTTTAAGATTATTTAAATGAAGTAATGGAAAAAAGATTTGTCAGTTGTAGTTGAAAAGTTACACTCTTTTGACACACGTATACAGGTGCAGCTCATCCTTGAGTAAAACAATACTGTCTGCTATATTTTAGCTTTTATGCATGACTTAAAATAGGAAGTTACTGATTGAACAACTACTAATCTCTCCAAATACCTTCTGTATACAATTTTAAAAACTGACCTTTAATCAATTTTGTTTAGTGTATGATAAAATTAGTACAGTAGTGGGGCTGGCAGGTGGTGTGAAGGGTGCTGGACTCCCACATGGTTGACTATGGTTTGAGTCCCACTCCTGGCAGCTTGCTTTCTCACTTTCCCTCTTTCTCATTCACTCTGTCTCTCTCTGGTCAAACTAAAAGTATGTAAGCAAGTAAGTAAGTAAATAAATAAATAAATAGTTAACGAAAATAATTCTTAAAAAAAAAAATAAAACTAGCACAGTAAGACAATTATGGTAAAATCCAGATAGATGGTATATTAAAATTTTCACTGTTTTAAAAAAAAAAAAAAAAAAAAAAAAAAAAAAAAGAAAGAAAGAAAAAAAAAAGGGACCAGTAGTTGGCATAATGGCTATGTTGCTGGACTCCCATGTAGTCGACAACAGTTTGAGTCCCAGACCGGGTGGCTTAAACTCACATCAGGTGCGTGTGTGTGCGTGCCCAAGATCCCAAGAGTTAGATAATGGAGGAGAAGGGATTGTGATGCGGCCATTCCCCCTAGTGGCTGATTTCTCGCTTTCTGTCTCTCTGTCTTTCCTTGTTTTTTTTGGCGAGTGCACATGCCCTATAGCAAAAACCTCTTCAACAACAATTTTTTTTTCACTGTAAAGTTTCAATTTTGCTTTATCCTGGAAAATTTTTTTAAATAAAATGTTGGGGGAAAAAATTTATCTTACCTCATAGTGTAACATGAAATTTTTATCTTTTACACCACTGCAAATGAAAGGCATAATGTTAAAAGTCAGTATTCAAAGGAAGAATATGAAACAGTATTCTCTTCTGGGCTTATGAATTAATTCTATACAGATTTAAGAAAATAATTTTGCTTCAAATACAAGCCCTTATTACATATCCATATTTGGACATTAAGACAGGAGACATATATTTTAGAGCATTAATAACTATGAAGAGAAACCTAAATGTTATCACTTTAGTTAAATCTGATAGCTAACCATCTTTTTCCCAGTCAACATGTAAAATAAAGATCCGTAACTCAAATAATATAGCTGAGAGTAATCACAGTAACTGAAAGGCCACAATCCCCTCTTCGGAGTTTACGAGAACTGCTGCATAAGTATATACCAAAATGGGGAAAATAAGGATGAGAAGAAACATAATTTCTGGAAGCTGGAAACCAGATTTACTTATGAAAAGGTAGCCACATTACAGGGTCCCAGCACAAACAGTGCCCCCCCCCCCCTTTGAATAGAATTACAAAAGGCAGCTCTCTGTACATAGGACTTAAGAAAAGACCTAGGATGGAGCAGAATCTGTAAAGCCATAAACTACTGCTTTGGAAAAAGAAATCTCAAAACCAAACTCCTTCTGAAGACCAAAGGGATAACAGATTTTGGGGGCCAGAGAGGATGGTAGAAATTATTAGCCTGGTATTTATATTTTATAAGATAAGGAAACCAGACCAGCTGGTGGCGTGGTAGTTATGGTGGCTGGATCCCACCTAGCTAACTGTAGTTTGAATCTTGAGAAACACACCGTGTGTATGTGTGTGTGGGGGGGGAGAGGAGTCCAAAATTCCAAAGGAATGGGGAGATGGAAGGGAAGGGATTGCAGAGTGACCATCCCCCATAGAGAGTGCTTTCTCACTCCTCCCCAACTCTCTCTTTTCAAAACTGAACCCACACTCTGGTAAATTATGAAGAAGAAAAACCAAAACAAAAAAAGGAAGCCAAACGCCAGCATGGCTGAGTGATGTGTGCCCTCATCTATGTAGGTCACAGACCTAAGATTAGATCATATGGAGAAGCCTTGGTCAAGCCCAAGTCTCTTTTTGAGGCTATGCTGCATCCTAGAAGAAAAAGGAGCTAAAGAGAGGAAGGGTAGGTCAACTAAGTTTGGCCCAGATGAGAATATAAAATACAAAGATCTTCTAAAAAATGATTAGGACAAGCATTTCAGTCTTACATACACAACTGCACTATCAATTTTATCAGATACATGGAAAAGAATTAGGGTGGCTATCCTGAAAACACTGGAGCTTTTCCGCCTTAGCTGGGCAATGGGAAGAGGGAGGCAGAGTCCTGAGGCACTGAGGAAAGGAAGAACTGCTAGTGAGTCCCAGAATTCTGATGTAACATGGATTCTTTTCATCTAAAGTTGACCAATACAACTATACTGCTGACTTTTATAGGAAAAAGGAAGAATAGCACTTATTTCTGAACAAAACTTCATGATGTGGCATGGATTAGATAAGGACTTCCAGCTCACAGCGTGGGGTTGAGCAAGTGGCCACTGGGCTCCACCTGGAATGCTCGCCTCCTGCACCCTCCAAGTCCCACGGGCTGTTGCGGCTCCTGGGGAGCAGGGCCTTACAGGCCACAAGCCCAGAGCACCGCCGGCTGGCCACCATGGAGAGCTGGCTGTCCCTACCGACACGCTCTACGGCCTGGTCTGCTCGGTGAGCTGTTCGGCACTGGGTGCTGTACTGCCTGTTCTGCCTCAAGGGCCGCAGCAAGGCCAAGCTGCTGGCCGTATGCCTGGGCAGCGTGGCCGACGTCTACAGGTACTGCCATGGCTCCTGAAAGATCCGTTGCCAGGACCAGTGACTCTGGGTGATGGAATGCTCAGAGGAGCCCAACCAGGACTTAAACCCCTTCACTTCTCTCATGGAAATCTGTATTCCGGACCACACCTTCATGCAGGACTTGGCCCAGATGTCTGGTGGCCCACTGGCTCTTACCGGTGCCAACCTCAGCAACCAGGCCAGTTCTCTGAATATTGGAGGAGTTCTGAGACCTCTGGCCTCAGGTATCTCTGGTCATTGATGGAGGGCTGATTGGGGATAGCCAGAACCCTTGGCTCAACTGTGGTTGATTTATCTGTGCCTGGAAAGTTTGGCATCACTTGTGCAGGCTGTTCCCTGGAAAGCACCACAGCCATCCTCCAACAGAAATAGGGGCTGCTCCCCTCTCCTGGACCCTGCTAATGAAACCTGGGACAGGGCAGGCTCCAGGCGTGGGCTGGATACTGTGTGTCTGTGGGTGTTGGCAAGGCCTCATTCGCAGAGGCCACTGGAGTGACATTACTAGCCTAAGCCTTAAGGCAACATGTCTTCCTGACCATTATAGGCCAGGCCCCGGAGGCTGCTGGTGTAGCCTCACACCTGGAGGGAGGTTATGTGTATTCCTTTTAGTTCGTTTATCAACTATGTGCTGAAAGGAGAGGTTAAGAACATTCCCAGAGTGGCCTTATTTTGTAAAACTTTTGCTTTCTCTTTTTGTCAAAAAGTAACAGATTTAGAATTCAGGGAGAGAGACCTCCCTGACGGGTGGTAGCATTTCAGGTCTAAACCAGCTAGAGGTGCTGGTGCTGTTCAACAGTCTCAGGTGACTAAAGGTGTGAGTTTGGGTTCCTGACTCTCTAGCCAGGTTAAGGTAAAGACTAGAGAGCCACAGACCAAACTCCTTTTCCTCTAGACCAGTGGGATTAGTAGTGCGGAGCAATTGCCTAGCAGGAAAGCAGGTCAGGCAGTGACACTAGCAGGTATGTTCAGTGGCAGGAATGTGGTGGAAGTGGAGATCCAGATAAAGAATACTGGAAAATAGGGCTGGCCCCACAGTGCAGTGGTTAGACATTGTGCTTTGGGATCAAGTCCCACATGACCCGCTGCAATCTATGGCCTGAAAAGGATGCCAGGCATATGTGTGCACTTGTCTAAAATCTTGGCAGGAAGGAGAAAGAAAAGGGATTGTGGTGTAACTGCGCCCAGTGGTGGGTGGGTAGGTGAGTGGGAGTCTCTCTCTTTCTTCTGAAAGCACACACACCCTCTGATAATTAAAGAGTATTGGAAAATAAAAAAATAATTAAAAAAAAAAGATAAGGACTTCTACTTCTTTATTTGCTCTCATCTATAATAGAAAAACCTATTCATTTAAGGAATATCCAAGAAATCTGTCTTGTGGAATAGGTTTTAGAAACAGAGAAGAAACTAAATATACTCACATTAAAGAAATGCTTTACTTGTTTCAAACCAATGATGTAAAAAAAGAAGGCACACACACCAAAAAAAAAAAAACCTTGAAACCATGACGACTGTAAACAGAAATGAAGTATAGAGACACATGTTTTGAAAAACAATATACAGTAAGAGTTTCAGTTATATACTGGAATATCATAAAACATAGTATAAAAAAAAACTTACTTTATAGCTGTTATAATCCGATCCGACTTAATACTGGATTCTAATGAATCAAATGTCACAGTACAAAGCACCTTAAAAAAATTTTAAGAAAGTGCCTTAGGTTTTTTTTTTTTAGTTACAACAAAGATGAAAACGAACACTCTTTGAATAGCTCTATTAGCTCTTAAAATAAAAGGGACAGGGGCCAGAAGGTTGCATAGTGGTTTAGGCACTGTACTCCCATATGGTTGATGGCAGTTTGAGTCCCTGACCCAGTGGCTTGAAAATCATGCTGGGGCTTGTGTGGGCATCCCCAAAATCCCAAGATGAGAAAGAATAGAGAAGGAATTAAGGGGGCCATGCCCCCTTAGGGGGGGTGATTTCTCTCTGGTAAGCATATACACCCTGTGGCAAAAACCTTACCAAATAAATAAATAAAGTAGATAGTCATTCTATAAATATTCAAGCTGTATGTAAACCTCAATAATTTAGCACTGGACGGGGCCGGCAAATGGCGTGGTAGTTAAGGTGCTGGATTCCAATATGACTGACTATGGTTCAAGTCCTGGACCTGGAGGCTTGAAAATCCTAACAGATAAATAGATAAATGAATAAATGTCAAAAAGAAAGAATTCAGCACTAGACTAGAAGTGCTGGAGGAGGATGATAGGTAGACAGGAAGGAGGAATATTTATAAAAACTATGTACTAGTTCACAGAAGAAGGCTCAATCGTTCAGCAAGGGCCAGCCTACTAGCCTAGTTAAGGGCGCCAGATCCCACATGGCTGACTGCAGCTCAAATCCCAGCCCTAGCATCTTGAAAAAGACACCAGCGTGAGTGCATGCATGGTTCAAGGGGATAGAGAAATGGAGAACAGACTATACTATGACCATGCCCCATTGGGAAGTGCTCTCTCCTTATCTCTCTGGTGAGTGTACGTGCCCTCTGGCAATTAAAATATAATGGTTCAGCTAAAAGAACTATCTTTTTTTTTTTTTTTTTAAGAGAAATTTTGGCTCACTGGAGTGATAGACAAAGTCAGGGAGACAGAAAGTGAGAAATCACCCTCTGGGGGAGTGGCCACACCGCAATCCCATCTCCTCCATTCAGGTCTTAGGAATTTGGGCACGCATGCACATGTGCCTGGCGTGAGTTTTAAGTCCTTGTGTCCAGGACTCAAACTGTGGTCAACTACGTGGGAGTCCAGAGACATAACCATTATGTCATCTGCTGGTACCTAATGGAACTACCTTATAAAAATATCAATCTTCTTTGGAGGAATATACCATAATCCAGAGACTCTACTACATATCATTTGCTAACTCCAAGACACAACCTATAAAGAAACAAGCAGCAGGGCCCATTCTCAAGAAAAGAGAAATGCATGAAGATTGACACTCGGCTGATTAAAATGTAAGATTAATAAAAAAAGATTCCAATAGCTATTATAATTAGAGTCAAAGACATTAAAAAAGAATCAAGGGAGGCCCAGACATGATGGTGGAGGCAGCAGGACACTACCACATATTGGAGACAAATGGGATTCAGATCCTTGGTTGATTGGAACACTGTAGGTACACCCATGATCCTGACTGGTTGAAAGGCTAGAAGGAGAACCCTTATCAGGGTCTTTCTCTGCCTATGTCTTCTATCACTCTCTCACAGAAAGAAATAAAACTTAATGAAAAGAATGGTAATTCCAGAACTGATACATTATCTTATTTGTAAAGGAGTGAATATGAAGACAGACTGATGGAAACTGCCCAATCTCAGGGTTGAAAAATAGAATAGTGGTAAAGTAAGATTTCTCTGTTAGGCATACTTACTTAAGAAGTTTCTTGGTTTAAGCGTGCCAGAGAAAGACAGAGAGATAGAAAGAGAAAGGGAAAAAATACTCCCCAATGGAACACGGTCATGTCACAGTCCCTTCTTCAGTTCTCTGTCCTGTCATGCTTTGGAGCTTGCAAGCAGACTTGACTAGTATGTTTAACAAGTAGCCAGGAGTGGGATTTCAACTGTGGCTGGCCATGTGGAAGCTCCCTTTTAACTATGAGGTTACCAGGCTGGTCCCCAAAACCCTACTAGATATTAATCTTAAAAGATAATACATTCCAGGGACCAGCAGTTAGCGTAATGGCTATGTAGCTGGACTCCCACGTAGTCGACCGTGGTTTGAGTCCTGGACCCGGCAGCTTAAACTCACACCGGGCGTGTGTGCGTGCATGCCCAAGTTCCTGAGAGAAGAATGGAGGAGAAGGGATTACGGCGTGGCCATCCCCTCTGGGGGGGTGATTTCTCGCTTGCTGTCTCTCTATCTCTCTCTGTCTTTTGCTATAGGGTGAGTGCACGCACCCTATAGCAAAAACCTCTCAAAAAAAAAGAGAAAAGATAATACATTCCATATTTTAAAAGTGTGTAACATCTACATAACATATTTCTATTAGATCCAATGAAATAATCCTAATTCAGCAAATAACTGTAGTTTTTTACATATATTACCTGTGTTTGTCCCCTTTGAAATAATGCTGATCCATGAAGTGTTTTAAACATATCCACCTCACAATTTATATTCCTAAGTGAAGTCAAATCTCGACCATCACACCTATAGTAATAAAGGAAATAAGTAAGTAAAGCCATGTTAGAAATAAAAAAATACATATCATCTCTTTATCACTACCAGGATATTCTATGTACCATAATCCCCTGTAGAACTTTAAGAAATAATAGATACTTCGGACCCACCGTAAATCCCACTGAGTCAAATACCCAGGTTGTGACTTATACACCTGCACTGTCACAAACCTCTACAGGCAATTTTGATATGCAGTCAGAGCTGTGAGCATTGTTCTATACATAAAGCCCCAAAGAGACAATCACACAGCCACACGATCCACATCCTCTTGCTTTTTTTTCTTCCTTTTTTTTTTTTAGGTTTTTGCCATTGGGTATGTGCACGTGCCAGAGAGAGACAAAGAGGTACAGAGAGAAGTGAGAAATCACTCCCCAGGGTAGATGGCCATGCTGCAATCTCTTCATTCTCCTCTTGGGATTTTGGGCATGTGTGCACACATGCCTGGTGTGATTTTTCAAGTCACCAGATCCAGGGATCCATCAGAACTGTGGTAGAGTATGGCTGAGCCTAGCGCCTTAGTGGCCCCCATATCCTCTTTCTTAAGTAGGTGCCCATTTACCAAATAAATAGAATTCTTTACTGTTCACTTGAAAACAAAACAAAACAAAACAAGGAAGGAATTCCATAGCACATGCTTCAATTCTGTCAAAAAAAGATGCACTTACCTTTTGTATTCATTCAAAATAATACCTCTAAAAACTTCCTTTGCAACAACATTGAAGGACTCTATTATTTCAAATGGATCGGCTTCTGGAAATTTTTCTACAGAAAAAAAAAGGCAAGCCAGGAGAAAAGTTTTCTTTTTTTGGAAGATATGATTTCTTTAAAGCTTACATCATCAAGTCAATTAACCATGAGAGTAAACCAAAGGAATTGACTCTGAACATTTAGTTGATAGGCAGACTAAATAGGTGATTCAAATCTTCTCAAGCAAGTGAAACACACAAAATACTATTAAATATTTCAAACACAGTGTTATTAGGAACTTAAGTTTGCTTTCTACAAATTAACAGTGCTTTGAAATCTGCTCTCTATTGTATGTTACTTGATAATGCAGTCAATCACATAATGTGAAAGGTCTAAGTTTTTTTTTTTCTTTTTTTTAAGGTTTATGTCATAGGGCATGTGTACTTGTCAGAGACAGAGAGAGGGAAAGTGAGAAATCACCCCCTGGGAGGGTAACCACCTACAATCCCTTTTCCTCCATTCTCCTCCTGGGATTTTTGGGCACGCACACACACACACACACACACACACACACACACACACACACACACACCTGGTATGATTTTTTTTAAGCTTCCAGAAACTTGAACTGCAGTTAGTCACATGGAAATCTAATGCCTGAACCACCATGCTACCTGCTGGCTCTTAACTGAAACTTTTAAGAGTAATTATCCTCACTTTTCTTGAGGAACTGTTTTTAAGCTTTTTTTTTAATTGCCAAAGGGTGCATGCACTAGCCAGAGAGAGGACACACCCCCAAATGAGGCATAGTCATGCCACAATCCTTTCTCCATTTTTCCATTCTGTCAGGGTTTTGGACATGCACACACATATGTGCCTAGCATGTTTCTCAAGCCACTGGGACCAGAATTTCTTTCTTTGGAGAGGTTTTCGCTATAGGGCACACGCGCTCGACAGAGACAGAGCTAGAAAGCGAGAAATCACCCCCCAGGTGGGATGGCCATGCAGCAATCCCTCTTCCTCCATTCTCCTCTCGGGATCTTGGGCACACCAGCGTGAGTTTAAGCCACAGGGTCCGGGACTCGAACTGTGGTCGGCTACATGGGAGTTCAGTGACATAGCCATTATGGTAACTGCTGGTCCCTGGGACCAGAATTTGAACCATGCAGTTGGCTATGTGGGATCTGTTTTCTTTAATAACTAGGTGACAGGCCAGACCTGAAAGTTTTACCTTAATCTGGAAATTGGGAAAGAATTTTTCTTATACATTACAAATTCTTATTGGCTATCTTTAAGCAAACATTTATCAGGCACTTTTGTAAGCCAGACACTTAATAAGGTTTTTTAAATACCTTCATTTTCATAGTTTGTTAGATAGAGTTGATTATTATATCCCATTCTACAGAGGGAAAAACTGAGATTTAAAGAGATAAACTGCCTAAGATCACAAAGCTAATAACTGAGCAGTAGTGACCTAAATACAAATCTGTTTACCTAAAAGCCTCGTGCTTTGAAATTAATTAATAGCTATTCTACCTATTAATTACTTTATGTCAAGTTTAAGTATTCTTCTCTCAAGTGTTTGGTTTATTAAACAGAACTTTAATCAGAATATTAGAAATGGTCACAGAGAGACATTAATACATTAAGTATTCCATCTTCATCAGTTAAGAATAAATATTTTTTTGGACCAGCAGATGGAGTAATGGCTACGTTGCTGGACTCACATATAGTCGACTATGGTTCGAGCCACCTCACGCCGGGCGCGTGTGTGTGCGTGCCCAAGATCCTGAGAGGAGAATGGAGGAGAAGGGACTGTGGTGTGGCCACCCCCCTAGGGGGGGCATTTCTTGCTTTCCATCTCTCTGTCTCTTTCTGGCGAGCGCACGCACCCTATAGCAAAAACCCCTCCCTCCCAAAAAACAAATAAATATTTTTTAATGCCAGAGGCTGGGGTGGGCACATGCATACATGTTTGATAGACAGCGAATCCCTTAACTGGGCCTGGTCATGCTGCAATCCTTTTTTCTCTAATTATCCACCCCACTAGGGACATGGACAAGTGTACATGTACTCAGAGTGTTTTTCAAGTCAGTGTGGGTAGATTCAAACTCTGGTTAGCCATGTGGGATCTGGCTTCCCCTGTGCAGCACTTCACTGCTGTACTATGGCACCAGCCCCAAAACAATATTTAGTATTACACTTTAAAGAGAACTTTCATACTTTAATTGGGTTGCACTTGGAAAAGAAAACAACTAGTAACAAAACATTTAAAGTATTATCCTACAGGCTAGCTCCATGGTGCCATGGTAATGTGCTACTCAAGATAACCTGGATCTCTTGTGGCTAGCAGGTGGTGTGGTGAAGACTTGGATCCCACATGGTCAACTCTGGTTTGAAGCTGGAATGAGAGGCCAACTACGCCAGGCATATGTGCTTAAGTGCCCAAAATACAAGGCAACATGTTCTGACTTCTTTTTTTTTTTTTAAGAGAGATTTTTGCTATAGGGTGTGTGCACTCACCTAAGAGACAGAGAGACAGAAAGCAGAAAATCACCCTCAAGGGGGATGGCCATGCCACAGTCTCCTCTCTTTAATTCTCCTCTCAGGATTTTGGGGATGTACGAACACATACATGTTTTTAAACTTTTTTTAATTGCCAGAGGATCTATGCACTAGCCAGAGAGAAGACACCCCCAGGTCCAGGGTCCAGGACTTGAACTATGTGGGAGTCCAGTGATGTAACCATTATGCTATCTGCTGCTCCTCCGACTTCTCATTCATAATGGAATGAAATGCAGTGAGAAAGGGCTCAACTTTTTTTTGCTATAAGGCGTGTGCATTCACCAGAAAGAGAGAGTCAGAAAGCGAGAAATCACCCCCCAGGGGGGATGGCCACGCCGCAATCCCTTCACCTCCATTCTCCTCTCGGGATCTTGGGCACACACGCACACTCGCCCAGCGTGAGTTTTTGTTTGTTTGTTTTTGAGAGGTTTTTGCTACAGGGCGCATGCGCTCGCCAGACAGACAGACAGAGACAGAGAGACAGAATGTGAGAAATCACCCCCCAGGGGGGATGGCCACGCAGCAATCCCTTCTCCTCCATTCTCCTCTCGGGATCTTGGGAACGCACGCACATGAGCCTGGCGTGAGTTTTTTTTTATTTTTTTTGGAGAGGTTTTTGCTATAGGGCACGTGCGCTCGCCAAACAGAGACAGAAAGCGAGAAATCACCCCCCAGAGAGGATGGCCACGCTGCAATCCCTTCTCCGCCGTTCTTCTCTTGGGATCTTGGGCACGCACGCACACGCGCCCGGCGTGAGTTTAAGCCACCGGGTCTGGGATGCGAACTGCAGTTGACTACGTGGGAGTCCAGCGACATAGCCATTACGCCAACTGCTGGTCCCAACAGCAGAGTTCTTAATCTTAAGATAAATACTTATGTGAAAGGACATCTGTCTATTAGTAGAAAAATTAATAAGAACTTATATGTCATGTTTCAGTCACATTTAGTTTATAATAAATTGGTATCACACAATAAAACGCTTCCTTAATAATTTCTGGAGAACTAGTTGTCTAAAACGTGTATCTTACAGGGACAGCAGATAGCTTGATAGTTAAGGTGCTGGTGCCCCCCCCCCCCACATGAGCTGACCCTGGTTCAAGTCCCAGATCTGATGGCTTGAAAATCATGCTGGTTAAGTGTGCATGCATGCCCAAAATCTCGAGAGGAGACTAGAGGAGAAAGAGTTGTGGCATGTTATTAAGAACAACAGCAGCAGTTAACATTTATTAATCACATGTTACATGCCAAGAACACATGCATATGATTTACTTATTTAATCTCCATAAATCAGGAGATTTATAGATGAAGAATTCAAGAATTTTTTAAAAAAATATGCTATAGGATGGGATCAGCTGTTGGCGTAGCATGTACATGTAGCTGACCATGTACGTGACCATGGTGCTGGACTACATGTAGCTTAAACTCATGCTGGGCGTGTGTGCATGTGTGACCAAGATCCTGAGAGGAGAATGGAGGAGAAGGGATTGCAGCCTGGCCATCCCCCTTGGGGGGTGATTTCTCGCTTTCTGTCTCTGTCTCTCTCTGTCTTTCTGGTGAGCGTACACACCCTATAGCGAAATCTTTCCTAGAAAAAAACAACAACAAAAATATGCTATTGGGCAAGTATACTCACTGGAGAGAGACAGAGACAGAGAGAGAGATAGGGAAAGTGAGAAAGTTCTCTCCAAGGGGAATGGTTACACTGCAATCCTTCTCCATTTTCTTCATAGGATTTTGGGCATGCACATACATATATTTGGCATGCTTTTTAGTCTGCTGAGTACATGGTTGACTGTGCAGTCAACCAGGTGGGATCCAGTCACCTTAACCACCATGCCAAGAATTCAAAATTTAAAAAAAATATCTTTCAGGTTTTCAAATTGCAGGATACAAGGCTACCCTATTTAAAGGGTGAATCTGACAAAGAAAACACTGAAATAGTTCACATTTGGCATTTTTGAGGTGCCAACTCAATTGTAGTGCAAACCATATTCATAAATGTGATACATCATTAGCACAAGCTTACTGAAGACAGAACTGATTTCTTTTGAGTTCTTACAATGGAAATGATAATATATATAATCTTTTTAAAAAATTGCTAATGAGGGGACCAGCAGTTAGCGTAATGGCTATGTCACTGGACTCCCATGTAGTCAACCGTGGTTCCCGTCCCGGACCCGGTGGCTTAAAACTCACGCCAGGCGCATGTGTGTGCATGCCCAAGATCCCGAGAGGAGCATGGAGAAGGGACTGCGGTGTGGCCATCCTCCCTGGGGGGTGATTTCTCACTTTCTGTCTGTCTGGCAAGCGCATGCACCCTATAGCAAAAACCTCTCCAAAAAAAAAAAAAAACATTGCTAATAGGTGCATCCATTCTACAGAGATTGAGAAAGTAACCCCCTCCCCAATTTCTCCTGTCAGAATTCTGGGTGTGCACACACATGTGCTTGGTGTGTTTTTCAAGTCAGTAGAGCCAGGACTAGACTCATGGGGCTGGCTATGTAGGGTCTGGCTTCCATAACTATTAGGCAATGTGGTCAGCCCTAATTTTTCTAGGTTAAAAAAAAAAGTCACCTTTTAGTTGTTCCTCTGTATCCAACCTTATCTTGTTAACAGCTTCATCTCTGGAAATCTAAAAGAAAGTTAAGGTTTATTTATATTCATGTATTGGTATTTCCGTTTTTTTACTTTTTATACAATTAACACACTGTAAGAGTACTCAGATATCTCTAATGGTAATATTCTTAAGAAGATTAGAGTTGGTTATTGACTAATAAGAAATTTTACACATTTAATTCATTCAAGTATATTTGCACAATTTCCTAATACTTGTATTTATCCACCAAAGGCAGGAGAAACAAAAAGTTGGCTTTTATTCAGTTTTTTGTTTAGAGATTTTTAATTAAAATAAGATGAATATTCATAAACAAAATTACATAAGTTATGACAAAAAAGTATTCCTAAGACAATTACATATGAGAGACAGATTCAGGAATACCTACTTTATCATGTTCATAATTCGTAAAAACTGCATAGAGTTTCTCCATGGCGAGTCTATTTTAAACACAAAAGAAATGAAATGTAATATAATATCTGAATATATGGGATAGTTTCTATTATAAATAAAACTATTATATGTAATAGCAACACGCTAAAGGCTGGACCTACATCCTAATGGCTAAGGGGTTCAGATTCAACATGGCCAACTGTAATTTGAATCATCCTGGGCCTGGTGATTTGAAAAACACGCAAGGTGCATGTGCATGCATTCCCCAAATCCCAACAGAATGGATAAATGAAGGAACTGTAGTACAATCATGTCCCATTGGGGTCATCTCTCCCTTTTCCTGTCTGACTGCCTCTGGTAAGTGCATGTGCCCTCTGGCAATTAAGAAAATAATAAGCTAGGGGCCAGCAGATGGTGTAATGGTTACATCACTAGACTACCGTGTAGTTGACTGTGGTTAAAGTCCTGGACCTGGTAGCTTAAAACTCACGGGACTAGCAGTTGGCATAATGGCTATGTTGCTGGATTCTCACGTAGCCAACTGTGGTTCTAGTCCTAGACCTGGTGGTCTAAACTCATGCCAGTGCATATGCATGCATGCCTAAGATCCTGAGAGGAGAATGGAAAAGGTATTGTGGGGTATGATTTCTCGCTTTCTGTCTGTCTCTGTCTTTCTGGTGAGTGCACAAGCCCTATAGCAAAAAAACTCTCAAAAACAAAAAACAAAACAAAATAAAACTCACGCTGGGCCTGTGTAATCTAGAGAGGAAAATGGAGGGGGGATTGTGGCATGGCCATCTCCCCCCGGGGAAGTGATTTCTTGCTTTCTCTGTTTCTTGGGTGAGCACACAATGCCCTATGACAAAAATCTCTTTTTTAAAAAAATAAATAACAGCTAAAAATTCAATAATGAACATTTAATAAAAAAATAAAAATACATATATTTTTAATATGGGCTGTGCAGACAGCATTAACTCACTAGATCCAAGGTTTCATGTCCTTGGCTCACATGTATGCTCAGGATCCAAGCCAACTGAGATTTTGGGTGATTATGGCACAGGAAACCTCTCACAGGTGTCTGTCTATCTCTCATTGAAGAAATAAATAAAATTTAAAAAATATTTAAAACATGTACACAATGTTTATCAATACTAATCTGTTTATTATTTATGATACAGATTACTAACTTCTTCCTCCCTGCCTTTCAAGGGAAATACTCACACATGGTACTATGCCTTTCCTTTTTGTCTTTAATTATTCAATTAATTTCACTGTAGATTTTTTTTTTTTTTTTAATTTTTGCTATAGGGCACATGTGCTCACTGGAGAGACAGAGAAAGACAGAGAGAGAAAGAGAGGAAGTAGCCATCCCCCCACCCCCAGGGAGAATGACCATGCTACAGTACCTTCTCCTACATTCTCCTTTCAGGATTTTAGGTAAGCATGCACACGCACCGGTGTGTTTTCCAAGCCATTGTGTCCAGGACTCGAATCACACAGTTGGCTATGTGGGAATCTAGCTGCCTTAACCACCACACCAATGGCTGACTCTACTTTAGATTTTTCTTACACACTTTTTTAAAAGAAAAAAAAAACTCTCACTTTCTTTTGTTCTATCCTGTTTGGTTCAGTTATCATAGGAAACTATTATAGACAGTTTATATTATTATTTAATTTTTTTTTTGAATTTTGTTTTTGTTTGTTTGTTTTTTGCATAGGGCACGTGCACTTGCCAGATAGACAGAAAACGAAAAATCATCCCCCAGAGGGGATGGTCATGCTGAAATCCCTTCTCCTCCATTCTCCTCTTGGGATTTTGGCCATGTAAGCACATGCACCTGGTGTGAGTTTTAAGCTGCCAGATCTGGGACTTAAACCGCCAGGTGACTATGTGGGAGGTCCAGCAATGTAACCATTATGCCATCTGCTGGTCCTAATTCTTTAATTTCTGACTGATAGCTCTGAGAATGACATTATAGGAACATTAACTTTTTCAGTTTATTTCAAATAAAATGATATAACTGTCTAGTGATCCATTCCTATTTACCGAGTGCCTGGCTACACGCCAGTCTCAGTTCTAAGCACTGGGCATGCAGTGGTAGTTATACTTGATTTCTCTTTGAGAACCTCAACAGCTTCCTTAGATATTCAGATCTTATCCTTTATCCTTTTCCCAGACCCAAAAACATATGAGGGTTATGTGAACCTTGACCAACATACATACTGTCTCTTTCATATGAGATTCAAACTTAGGCCCTAGGAGAGGGATGTGGAGATAAAACAGATATTTATGGCAATAATTCCTAAAACAGAATGCTATTTATAAAATAACGCATGGGCAGTGCTACCGTGGGAAGTTTCTTTCCTGAGAGGTAATTTAATCTGGCGACAATTTCTTATTTTCTTTTGTAGAGAAGTTCTTACTTATGAGCATGTTTCACAATCTCTGGCAAAGGAGTAAATAACTTCTGAGGTGTCCTCTTGGTAACACCAATTTCTTTTACCAACTGCTGGATGCCCTGAATTATTTGTTGGGTATATTTCACTCCTACTTTGATAGCATGGCAAAAGTCCTGCTGTAAAATGTTTTCTGCAGAGGCTTCTAACATGACTGTTAAAAGAAAAAAAAAAAGATCATTATTGAATCTTTTACCAATACAGCATTTTCAAATAAAATGACATGACATAAACATTACGGATCAATTTTATTTCTTAGTGGTATATCCACCTTTTTAATTTCTTTCCTCAGAATCAATATACTCCCAATATGTAAATAGCACTAAATGAATAAAGAATAATTGATATTGGAATTTAGGTTTATCTTAAATTTTATGAGGGAGGGAATTCCCATAAAAAATGCAACAGAAAAAAATGACAAAGAAATTACGCATATGCTTTAAAAAGAAAAAATGTAACAGCTTCATTAAGACTTAAGCTACATACCATAAAATTCAAACTTTTGAAGTATAGAATTGATTTTATGTATCTTAATCGAAAATTTAAAATAAGCAACATGGTAGGTATACTGTAAACGTTTCCTGTTTAATAATTATTTGATGTGACCTCCTATTTAACTGACTCACTGTCACATTGTTTCATTTTAGCATAGGTGAGGAAATCTTTGCAGTGATCCTGTTTCAAAGAAACCAACTAGAAGACCCTAGTTATTATTTGAAAAAGGTTGCTTTATGGTTTTACAATCATAAAACCCGTATAAAGCAAGGAAGCCCCAAACCACAGTATCCAGCTAAAATATTGTTTCAGCTTTGCATTCCAGAAGACTGAATAGCCTCCTGCCTCCTAGTGAGTTATCTCTGGTGTCTCTCGACTTGTACAAATCAAAGATCATGCAAATGAAGTTTATCAACATAGCTAATATCACTAACCACATTGTGTTGTCCTTAAGACTAATATCTGGGACCAGCAGTTAGCATAATGGCTATGAAACTGGACTCCCATGTAGTCAACCGCAGTTCAAGTCTTGAACCTGGTAGCTTAAATTCACGCCAGGCGTGTGTGTGTGTGCATGCCCAAGATCCCAAGAGGAGAATGGAGGAGAAGGGATTGCGGTGTGGCCAACCCCCTTGGGGGGTGATTTCTCGCTTTCTGTCTCTCTCTGTCTTCCTAGCGAGCGCACATGCCCTATAGCAAAAACCTCTCAAAAAAAAAAAAAAATTTACTACTATCTGAAGAAAAACCTCTCAAAAAAAAAAAAAATTTACTAATATCTGAATAGCCACTTTTAAGGCTTCTAAGATGAAATCTAGAATGAAAAAAATCATATATACTAATTTATTTATTTATTTTTAGATTTTTGCTATAGGGCATGTGAGCTCGCCAGAGATACATAGAGAGACAGGAGAGAGAAAGTGAGAAATCACCCCTCGGGGTGGGGTGGGGGGAGGTGCGGCCACATTGCAATCCCTCCTCTTCCATTCCTCTCTTGGGATTTTGAGCATGCATGCACACACATACCCTGTGTGAGTTTCAAGTCATGGGTTCTGGGACTTGAACTATGGTAGGCCATGTGGGTTCCAATACCTTAACCACTATGCCATGTACCTGCCCCCAAATCTTACATACTTTATATGCTGAAATCCTATTGATGTATACCTCTTAAAAAATATAAATCTTTTGTGTCATCAGAGTCATGGAAGAATTAACGGAAGAGGGCAGGGTTGAAAAAGTATTGGGAAAAAAGAACAAGGCTTAAGCAAGAAGGAAATTTATCTCACAGGTAAAAGAAATTCAAAGGTAGTGAGTCTAAGACAGTGATAACAGCTCCATGATGTCTTGTTTTGGAGAGATTTTTATTATAGGGTGCATGTGCTTGCCTGAGAGACAGACAGACAGGCTGAAAGTGAGAAATCAACCCCTGGGGGATAGCTACACCGGAATCTCTTCTTCATTCTTCTCTCAGGATTTTGGGCACATTAGTACATGTGCCCATGTGATTTTCAAGCCACCGGATCTGGAACTGTGTTGGCCATGTGAAAGTCTGGCACCTAACCACTATGACATCTGGTGGCCCTAAAGTATTTCCTCTAAAAATTATTTTTTGTTTTGTTTTGTTTTTAAAGATTTTTGCCATAGGGCACGTGAGCTCATAAGAGACAGAGAGAGAGGGAAATTGAGAAATCACCCCCAGGGGAATAGTCAATCTTCAATTCCTTCTCCGTTCTCTTCTTGGGATTTTGGCTGCACGCGCGCGCACACACACACGAACCTGGAGTGTTTCTCAAGTGCAGTGTAAGAAACACAGAGTTGGCCAAGCAAGATCAAGTGCATTAACCACTATACCACTTGTTGGCCCTAAAAATTGTTTTGTAAGTTCTTTAGTTTTATTGGACAGATATGTACTGACCAATATGGTAACTACTAGCCACATATTGTTATCTGCATTTAAGTTAATTAAAATTACATAAAAATTAAAAATGTGCTTCTCCAGTCATTGAGCCACATTTTATGAACTCAGTAGCCACACATTCACTTATAAGCCATCTTCATCATTGCAGAGTTCTACTAGACAAACACTGCTGCAGATACTGTATCACAGATACCCATGTTTTTTGTTATTCCCCTCCCTTTTCTTCTTCCAGCCTATAAGTTGATAAATTGATCAGAGCTCTGGTAGCTGGTTCCTAAGATGCAAATGAGGCCACACCCTGACAGGAGAGCAGAAAGTTAGAAGGAACCTAAATTTCTTTTCCTTCCCTTTCCTTCCCTTTCCTTCCCTTCCCTTCCCTTCCTTTCCTTTCTTTCATCCTCTCCACACTCCTGCCACACACACACACACACACACACACACACACACACACACACGTTTCGTAAGGCATCATGGAGCCATACCAGCAGGTGGTGTAGTGGTTAAGGTTTTGGGAGTCCCACGTGGTCAACCACAGTTCAAGTCCTGGACCTGGAGGCTTGAAGCTCTTAGTGGGGGAGGGGATTTCTCTGTCTCTCCATCTCTCTGTCTTTCTGGTGAGCATGAACACCACATAGCAAAAATCTCTTAAAAAAAAAAAAAGAGAGATCATGGAGCCATTATCACTGTCCTAGACTCACCACCTCTGAATTTCTTTTACCTGTGAGAAAAATAAATTTTCATCTTGTTTAAGCCTTCTTATGTGGTTGACAACACAACACCCAACTAACATGTGAATAAATAGAACTCCTGGTATATATGTGTTTATCTACATATGGTATCACCATCCCTTACCAACATTCCAGAAACAAAGGCAGGAAATGAGATATTGTACCCATTAGTTGTATGAAAAAAAGCAATAAAAGTATAACTGTTTACTTTATGCTTTTTCAAAATGTTCCTACATCAGGAAATTCTGGACATCAAAATTCAAATTAGAATAAACCAACAGTAACAGTCTTAAGTAATCTGTCCACCATCAAATAGTTATAGTGGCAGGCTGGGTCTTGAACCCAGGTAATTATGACTGCTAAAGCCCATTCTTTTCCCACAGATTGAGGCCTTGATTTTCATTCATGCAATTATGACATTTTTGTTACAGGAAGTGAAGGTGACTCATAGTCTGAGCACTTTTCCTACCTGAATGAAGAACTTCAAAAAGTTTGTGGAAACATGAAACTAAAGTATGATTTTATTTTGGTGCAAAACTATTCTGAAACCCAGGTATAGCTTTTTCATAATACACATTTTACATGAACTTTTTTGAAGACTTATTAGTGTTATTAGGTTGTCAGGAAAATCATGACATATTTTTCTATGCAAAAATACATCATAACTTTTCCGATTATCCAATACTAATCTTCTAACCTATCAGGAATAGGTCGCCTCTTTCTCGAGGTACAAAAAGAAGGCTTAGAATGACTGAATTAGCTAAATTAAAGTATTTAAACTAATAAAACAATTTGCCAAACTTAGAATTTCGGCTTATAGTTATTAAGCCTAAAATAACTACTGGAATTATCTTGGTAAATAAAGATTTTTATCTATTTCAATTAAAGTTGTGTGTAACATTCTGTAACTTTAGATTTTTTTATATGAAGCAAGAGTTTGAACAAAGTAGAATAGATATAAAACAAAACAAAATCTTTATGGCTACTGACAAAACACACATAGAAAATAATTTAAAAGCATTCTTAAAAGTCAGAATAGTAAGTAAAATCCAGAACAAATATAATATTTAAACTATTTACCAACATGACTTTTCGGTGCTCCAGCAACCACTAAGTTTAAAGGACTAGAAGACATTTCTTTTCGAGTTGGGTTAACAACACATTCTCCATCAATCATTCCTATTCGAACTGCACCTAAAACACATTGAAATATTGTTGACTGTTAATAAAAATTCTAAGTGTTCAAGACATTACTCCAACGATGGCTTTGATCCTCAACCTGGGATTGTTACCAGTGAATAAAATCCAGGTTTCTAGCACAGGCCTGCAGAACATCTTTTACCACCCTACCTTCTGACCTCACTGGACCACTATGAGCTGCTCAAACCAACCATTTGTTTCACAGCTCTGTAAGTATACACATAAACTCCTCCTGGTCTAGACTGTACTCTCCCCAAGGCAAATGCTTAACATCTGATCCTACTAAGGTTCAGCTTAAACACTGACTACTCTGAGAAGCCCTCCTTCCTGATCTGACCTTACAAAAACCAAACCTGTTCTCATCCATTATTTTCTTAGCACTTTGACTATGTCTTTATAATAATACCATTTTTATAAAGCATCTTTCCCTTACACTGTAAGCAAGAACAGCACGAACTGTATTGCTAGAGCTTAGTCTACCTTTGTTTCTTAAGCATTTAGCTTAGTATCTAGCATTTTTGATACTCAATAATTATTTGCTTGATGAATAATTTTTGTATTACATGGTTATAATTTATAAGTGTTGTAAGTTATAAACACACATTTGTTTCATCCTGAGAGATTATGAACTCAGATGATTTCCCAGTCCCCCCCACGAGCTCTCCCTGAAAAGTCCTGTAACAGAAAGAGGCCAATAGGTGAAGTGGTGAAGTGGTACGATACTCCCACATGGCCAATCACAGTTCCAGTTCCAGAGCTAGTGGCTTGAGCATTATGCTGGGTGAGTGTGCTCAAAATCCTGAGGAGAGAAGGAAGGAAAAGGGACTGCAGTGTAGCCATCTACCCTGGGGGGTAATTTTTCACTTTCCTGCTCTCTGTCTCTGTCTAGCAAGTGCATGTGCCCTATGGCAAAAAAAAAAAAAAAAAAAACCAAAAAGGTAAAAATATCTAGGCACACAAAATCTATAATACCACAACATGAGAAATAAAATGCAAACCAAGAGTGAAAAGATTTTTTAAATGTCATGTATTTCAATCCCCTAACAGGTAATAAATAAGAACCAATAAATCTGTATCTTTACTATACAATATGTTCATTATTATTTACTTTAAAAATATAAACACTGTTTCTTATTTTTAAATCCTGACTTACCAATGGGTCCATTCCAAGGAATATCTGATAATGAGAGTGCTACAGAAGCTTAAAAAGAGAAAAGAAGAATAACTGAAATGAAAACATTTCATTGCTTTTAAAACTCAGAAGTGTTAACTTAAATCTCTGTTTTTATACTTACCACCATTAACTGCTAGAACATCTGGTTCATTGATACCGTCAACTGCTAACAGATTACAAAGGATCTGGTACAAGGGAAAAAAATTCAAAGCATTTAAAAAACATCTATTTTATTTGGGAGAATTATTATTTAGGTTAACATTTTAGCCTAAAACATAGAAACACTTAATAAGCATGGGCTTTGTAGCCAAACCCCTTAGCTTTTGATATCATTTAACTAAATGCTTGACATTGGGTAAATTACTTCGATTAAGCTTCAAAAGTTTCCTCATCTTTAAAAGGAAAACATAATAGCATCTTCCTAAAGGATTGTTTTGAGAATTAGAGAGATGCTGTGTATAAAGTTCTACGACAACACTAGGCAAGTATTTAATAAATGTTAACTATTTCTATTACATAAAAATGTCATCTGTTCATAATCACAGTGAAACCAACCAATGAATTATCAATATTTTGTATTGCAATGATTTGTTCATGTCATGTACTTAATAAAATTACTTCCTTGAGGGTGTGAAACCTAGCAAAGATGCATTTTGAAGGCATATTTCCTTATCTTAAATAAATAATTACTTAATTAAAGTACATAGGTTATTATGCTGAAAAAAAAAAAGTTCAGAAAGTAGTAAAATATAATAAAGTACAGGTTCAGAGGGTACAGTAATAAAAATCAAGATGCATCAACTCTCCTAGTATGTTACTGCCATATCCTGGGGTGCCCAACCTAATCTGGCACCCATGAACTTGAGTCAAGATTGCCTTCCTTCAAACTCACCAATTTCTTTCCTGCCCCAGGGCTTTCATGCTTTCCATTCCATCAGCCTGGAATTGTTTCCTGACACTTACAATTCAAGTGTCAGCCTAAACTGTTACCAAATAAATTTTTTAAAAAGATTTTTGCCATAGAGCATGTGTGCTCACAGGAAAGAAACAGAGAGAGATAGTGAGAAATCACCCCCGGCAGGTTGGCCATTCTCCTCCTGGGATTTTGAGCACATACATACATACATACATACATACACACACACACACACACACACACACACGCTGTGTGATTTTTCAAGTTGCCAGGTCTGGGACTCGAACTGTGGTCGGCCATGAGGATTGGCCATGTGAGAATCCAGTGCCTTAATCACTACACTACCTACTGGCCCCCAAATAACTGTTCTTAAAAGTACTATTTGTTTTGTTTTGTTTTGACAAGGTCTTGCTGTCACAATCTTCCTACTTCAAATCCCCAGCTGGGACGAGAGGTGCACGCCACTGCACCTGTCTCTCTTTTTTTTTTTTTGAGAGGTTTTTTGCTATAGGGCATGTGCACTCGTCAGACAGAGAGATAGAAAGTGAGAAATCACCCCTCAGGGGGGATGGCCACGCCGCAATCCCTTCTCCTCCATTCTCCTCTCGGGATCTTGGGCATGCACGCACATGTGCCCGGTGTGAGTTTAAGCCACCAGGTCCGGGACGCGAACCGCGGTCGACTACGTGGGAGTCCAGCGACATAGCCATTACACTAACTGCTGGTCCCTGCACTTGTCTCTTTTTCAGACAGGGTCTTGCTAGGTTGCTCAGGCCAGTCTTGTGCTCATGACCCTCCTGCCTCAGTTTTTCTTGAGTTGCCTGGATTACTGGCACATGCCCCTATACCCAACCTTTAGGGTAGACCAAGATTTGAACCTGGACTTCCCATATGGTCCCAGTTTGTGGAACGCAGAACCTTGGTAGCGCTTGCCACCATGACTGGGCCAAAAAAGGTAGTATCTTTAAAATTTCAAAAAAAAAAAAAAAAAAAAAAGTAAAATCCAACCACATGGTCAAATTAATTTATATTTTCTGTAATGCTTAACCTAAGAAATATAATAGAGATTCACTAAGTAATTTTTTTTTGAGAGTTTTTTTGTCATAGGGTATGTGTACTTGCTGAAGAGTCAGAGAGAAAAAGAGAGACAGAGACAGAAAGCAAGAAATCACTCTCCTCAAGGGAGGATGGCCACATTACAATCCCTTCTCCTCCATTCTCCTCTCAGGATCTTGGGCACACAAGCACACGTGCCTGGAGTGAGTTTTAAGTGGTTAGGTCCAGGACTCGAACTGCAGTCAACTATGTAGGAGTCCAGTGATGTAACTATTACATCATCTCTTTGTTCTAAGTAATTTTTAAGTTGATCTGAAAATAAACCTCAAGAACCTACCTGCGTATCATAAAAGTAGCCAGCTGGAAAGAGAGGTCTAATTGAACGATCTGCCAAAGGAATAAAGAAAACAGTAAATAGTATTGACAGTTTCTTTACAGTCCAAGAGTTATGAACTAATATGGCTAACTGTAGCATATGTATAAAAAGAAAAACCCTGCACTGGTTTACTAAGAGGGACATAGATAAATGTCAATGCTTTAGTTATACACACCATGCCCTAACAACAAAATGTCTAAGCAGGGGTAGGAGAATATTAAGTATAAAACCTGGGGAGCAATTTTTCATTCTGGTTATATTGGTATCAGTTACAGATATAAATGATTGCTTTTTTAATTTATTATTTTTTTTAAAAAGAGGTTTTTTTTTTTTTTTTTTTTGAGAGAGAGATTTTTTTGCTATAGGGTTCGTGTGCTCGCCAAAGAGACAGAGACATAAAGTGAGAAATCACACCTCAGGGGGAATGGCCACACTACAATTCCTTCTCCATTCTCCTCTCAGGATCTCGCGTGCACATGCACTGGCATGAGGTTCAAGGTGCCGGGTCCAGGACTCGAACTGAGGCTGACTACGTGGAAGTCCAGCAACATAACCATCCCGCCATCTGCTGGTTCCATAAGAAAGAGATTTAAGACTAACAGCATACCAAAAGAAAATGCTTTCTGGGCCTGGCAGGTGGTAAAGAAGCTGGACTCCCAAATGGCCAACCACGGTTCGAGCCCTGGACCTGGTGGTTTGCTTTTTCACTTTCTCCTTCTCTGATCAAAGTAAAATAATAATAAAAAATAAATTAAATAATTCTTTAAAAAAAAGAGAAAGAAAATGCTTCCTAATATTCTGTATCTGGTAAATACAGCATGTATACAAACTATTGAATAGTAATTTCTGGATAGAAGAGCTATAAATAACAAATGATTTTACAGTATTTAGGGATATTAAGATTTGAAAGATTAGATATATTTCAGTAGCTGCTGAATATAATGTTTTTAAAAATTACTGTGCTGAACATGAAAATGAAAAAATACTAGAGGAAGATTCAACAGAATAGAGACCTGGGCAGTGGAATTCATATGCTCAATAGAGACATATTCATTTGGTAAACAAACATTTTTTTTGAATAACTATTCCATGCTAGGCAGTGTACTTGGTCAGGGGGAACTATGTAGTAAACAAACAAATTTTTTTTCTCTCACAGAGCCTACATCTGAGTGAGGGAATAGAAAGTAAAAAATCTCAGGTGGTGTTACTACAATGAAGGAAAATTTAAATGGTATTTTAGAACACAGATAGAAAAGAAAAGATGCTAACAAAGATATATCAGAGAGGGTTAATAACTGTGTTAATATCTTACCTATAATTCGACTTGTTAGAATTTCTTTATCGGAAGAACCAATCTCTCTTCTAAGATAGTTTGTAGGAATTCTACCTGCTGCAGCAGCCTTCTGTCTGTAGTCAACCTGACATAGCAATGACAAAATGATGTTCTATTATTCCTTATTTTGGTAACAAACTATAACAAAAGGATTACCATACAAATACTAATTCTCTTGAGACTGCTAACAACATGTTCTAGACTAAGAGTAGAAAATATCTTAATTACTTTTAGTGTTTTTTTTTTTTATATATTTTGGAAAAAGAGAATTGATAGTTTTCAGCAAACTGATTTTTTAAAATCTTTCCTCTTACAAGTTACTTAACTACCACACCTCACAATTTTCAGCTCATTCAGGTCAAGTAAAATACTGACTTTTTTGGGGGGGGGGGGGTAGGGATTTTCACTACAGGACGCGTGCGCTCGCCAGACAGACAGAGAGAGACATAGAGAAAGAAAGCGAGAAATCACCCCCTGGGGGGATGGTCATGGCGCAATCCCTTCTCCTCCATTCTCCTCTCGGGATCTTGGGCACGCACACACACGTGCCTGGCGTGAGTTTTAAGCCACCGGGTCCGGGACGCGAACCGAGGTCAACTCCGTGAGAGTCCAGCGACATAGCCATTACGCTAACTGCTGGTTCCCAATACTGCCTTTTTGGTATGAACTCTATTAGCTGTAACTGCATCCCCCTTTCAGTAACAGAAAGAAGCCGTACAATGCTAACAAACTCCTCTCTAAACTTACACGTGGCAGACGCAAACTGAAGGAAACTTATGAAGGCATGCATTCGCAGCCGATTTGGACCACGGTACTATTACTGTGCTCTCATCAACTTATGTATCTGGACATTCTTGAGTGCTTCGTTACTAGTATGAGAAATGGTTATAAAGCTATCAGGTCAGATTCTCTTAATGACTCAGTATCAAACAACAAGAAAAATTATTTTTGTGCAAAGTTAATATCTTAAACTCACTAAACTCTGGACAAAAATATCACAAATTCTGCACTTATGCTATAATATAGTTTAGATAAATCAACATATACTTACCACCAAAGGCATGAACTGGGATGGTGATGGTTTTGTTTTACTGACTGCTGTGACCATCACTGCAGTGTCACCTGACTTAGTTAAACATAAACAAAAACACTAGTAAATTCTTTTGAAATCAGATAATAACATAAATAGCAACTAAATGAATCCTCACTCAAATTAAATTCAAAGGAAGAGATCTGTTAGTCTATGACATGATTACAATGAAAATAATTATTTGCAAGTAGTACAATTTTGATCCCTTCTGTGTGGTCATAATCAGTATTAGAATGGCCAAGGAGCTTTTCAAAAGCTACAAAATCAAAGAGAAAAAAGGCTGATTGATAGCTTAGTTACATCTAGTGAATCAAATTAAATTTTCTACTTCTTGAGGAGATTTCTACTTATGAGGAAACTTAGGAATAAACATATATAAAATTTCCCAAGTATTAGTATTGAATAATATATCAAAATCAATTTCTCTAGAAAAGTACAAGAGAATTTATTAACAAAACCCCAATTTTATGATGGATTTCAAAGGTCATTTAATACATACAGCCCACTGACTATCTGGAATGCTTCTTACATTAGAAATAATCTCAGTAGTATCTGAATTAATCTCCAGAACAATTCTAGAAAGTTAATGTTTTTTCTCTCTCTCTCTCTCACTCTCTCTTGGAGAGGTTTTTGCTATAGGGTGTGTGTGCTCACCAGAAAGAGAGACAGAGAGACAGAGACAGAAAAACAGAAAGTGAGAAGTCACCCCCCAGGGGGGATGATCTTGGGTGGGCACGCACACACATGTACCCAGTGTGAGTTTAAACCACCGGGTCCCAGACTTGAACTGTGGTCAACTATATGGGAGTCCAGCGACATAGCTATTATGCCAATTGCTGGTCCCTAGGAAGTTAATATTATAATGATACTCAGTATCAGTCTCCAGAACCATTTTAAAGTGAAATATCAAAGACCTGGACTTTTTACCTGTACTACAGCAGAGCCATCTGCAAATCTGGCCAGTTTTCCAGAGGATATTTCTAATTTTCTGTTTAAAAATAAAAGTTCAAAATGACAAGACTTATCATTATAATTCTCAGCTTAGTATAAAATAATCAAATATTCTAATAGAAGAACTAAAGGCAACCATGCTTTCCCATCCCAGCAAAATACACAAACAAAATGGACAGAATTCATGATCATTATTAAAAGTAAAAGGGCAATTTAAGAGCTGCTTAAACTACACAGGAACCAGAGTGGTGCAGTAAACATGACCCTCTGTGAAGATGATCCACATGGGAAGATTCTGAGTTTGTCTCTAGAGACCACCTCAGTATGCCAGGCATGTGTGTGCCCATGATCCAGCGCTGGCTGAAGCTCGGGGTGGATTGCAGCGACAGACTCTGTTGAGGGTACTTTTTACCTCTGTCTCTCTTGCTTATGGAGGAAATAAGTAAGCAAATAAACTTCAACAACAACAAAATCCAACAGTATAGAAACCAAGGTATAGGATTAAACCCCCAAAGTAAACAGAATGGAAGTCCTGTAGGCAGACTCAATTTTTCCAAAGAAAGCCATAAATACACGAGGGCGGTTCCAAAAGCTCAGGACACACGACAGTGTAGGACGGGGTAGGATGGGAGGACACGGATTCCAAACTCAGAATGGAAAATCTGGAATTTAGGCTTGAGGTAAAGAGAGGTTAAAGAGACCTGGACTGCCAGATTTCCAGTCTCGGGGAGGAATGGACCTGAGCTGGCCCAGGGGGACACCTTGGGAAGACAGGAGATGCAAGCTGTTCCTTACCTGTTGCCTAAATCTATGGCCACAGCTCGGGACCCCGCGTTACTCCACAGCGCTCGCACCTGCAACTGAGTGAGTGCCCGATCCCGCCCTGGCAGACGGCGGGGACCCTCTCTCCGCTGCCGGAGTCGGAGGCACCAGCAGCAGCGCCTGCAAGCCGCCATGACACCAGCACGCGACCAGCCCGGGCTGTACCCTGATTGGCTCAATCCGCAGGTCGTGGGGCGGGGCCTGGCGCAGTTTCGTTTCCGTGGTGCGGGGGGGAAAGCCGGGAAGTCGGTACCTTGGTGCTTTCTACGAAGACCAGAGAGGGTCAAACGTGCGTGAACGCGGTTGTCTTGTGACCTCCTCACTCTTCGTTTTTATTCGTCAGTGAAAGACAGTTGGATAAGAAGGGCTTTTTTGTTGTTCTTGTGGTTTTTTGCTGCCATTGTAGTTTCAAAGAAAGGCCTAGAATAATGTAAGTATTTAATAAATAGAGTAAATATAGCAATAGTGGAAGTAATTGGACAACGCATTTGGCTCAGTGAAGTAAGGATTAGGAGAATTTGTGTGGTAGGCCCTGGAAAGAGGTTTTTCTCGCCCTTAGTATTTGTTTTATAAATATCACACAATAAGTTACTTCAAGAGTTCAAGGGTGTATCATTATTATTATTTTTAATTTTTATTGCCATAGGTTTCATGTGCTTGCCAGAGAGAGGGAAAAGAGAAAACATTCCCAAGGAAAAAATAGTCATTTAGTAATCCCTTCACCATTACAAAAAATGTTTAGGGACCAGCAGTTGGCAGAATGGCTATGTCGCTGGACTCCCATGTAGTGGACTGAGGTTCGAGTCCGGGATCCGGTGGCTTCAACTCACACTGGGCGTGTGTGTGTGCATGCTCAAGATCCTGAGAGGAGAATGGAGAAAGGATTGTGGCCTGGCCATCCCCACGCGGGGTGATTTCTCGCTTTCAGTCTCTCTGTGTCTTTCTGGTGGAAAGGGAGAGAGCAAGCTGCCAGGTTCAGTACTCAAACTGTGATGGCCATGTGGGAATCCAGCGCCCTTAACCACCAGGCCACGCGCCAGCCTCCTGCCAGTTTCTCCTTCACCATTTCTATCTGCTAGTAGAATTCGGGACACTTTTCAAGGCCCCCCGCTGGTATTCCAACCAGGCAGGAAGCAGTAAGCCTGTTGGGTCCAGCGCCCGTGAGGACCAGGCTGTTTTTCGAGTGAACCAATGATCATCGTTGTATGAAGGCTTTTTTAAAAACAGTCACAAACCGGGACCAGCAATTGCCATAATGGCTATGTCGCTGGACTCCCACGTAGTCGACGAGGTTCGAGTCCCAGACCCGGTGGCTTAAACTCACGCCACACACACGTGTGCGTGCGTGCCCAAGATCCCCAGACGAGAATGGAGGAGAAGGGATTTCGGCGTGGCCATATCCCCCGCGGGGGTGATTTCTCGCTTTCTGTCTCTGTTTCTGTCTGGCGAGCGCATGCGCCCTATAGCAAAAACCTATTTCCCCCCCCACCCCAAAGGAAAAAAAAAGAAATGAAAAGGAATGTTTCTGAAAAGATACCGTAAAAAATGTAGGGAATCTGAGAAAGAAAACAAAAACAAACCAGTCACAAACCTCTTGCCCCAAAGAAAACCAAACTACAGCAATAAAATCCCCCACACTCAAAGAATCAAAAGTGTTTGACGTGGAAACAGAAAAATTATTTGGTATCAGACACCTTCCTGACACCTTGCTTTCATGCGCAATTATTAACTTGGGATTTCCACGGCAATGTGATTAGCATTAACTGTTGGATTTTGTTGGATTTTTAGTGTTAAAATACTTTTTGCCTCTTACCGTTTTGCGTTTATCTTGAGGTGCTATGGTGTTTTCAAAATCAATCCGTGGAATCCTCTCACAGAGATAAATCTAACAGAATCTTCTTGCCGTAACTCAACATGACTTTGGATTTATAAAGTAAGAATAATAACTTGGGGACCAGCAGATAGCGTTCAAGTCCTGGGTCAAAGCCTGGCTCACGTGTGGGCTGGAGGAGAAGGGATTCCACTGCAGCCGTCCTCTCCCCTCCCGCCCTGCTTCACCCTGCCCCGACCCTGTGATTTCTCATTTTCTGTCTCTCTGTGTCTCTCCAGCAAGTGCACGCGCCCTATGGCAAAAATCTCTCTTAAAAAAATGTACTAACTCCATCTTTTGCTAATGTACTTAAGTACTGTATAATAATTTTCTTTCAAATAGAATTGCCTAATAGTTTAGAGTTTAGACTTGGACTTAGTCCTGGGTGGTTCCAATCTTTTTTTTTTTTTTAATAGACCACAGATTAGTTTATTTTTAACACCCATCATGCCATGAATTCATAGAGAATAGGTTCCAGTAGCTCAGACTCCTTTCCATTGGTTCTCACGAAGTGTGCTTCTCTGGGTGGAGCAGGCTGGCGCTTTAGTTGAACCCAGGTACCTTTCTCTTTGGCTTCTTTCTTTTTCTGGTCATTTTCCTTCACACGTTTTAGGAAGCTAGCTCTGCTCTTAGAATGTTTAATATGCTCAATACGCACATTGATTCTTTTGGCAAGAATCTTGCCCTTAACTCGTTTGTTCACAACAATGCCAACAGCATGCTGGGTAACATTGTGGACTCTTCCAGTTTTGCCATGGTAACATTTGTGGGGCATTCCTTTTTGAACAGTACCCATTCCCTTAATGTCTACAATATCACCTTTCTTGTAGATTCGCATATATGTCGCCAAAGGAACAACTCCATGTTTTCTAAAAGGCCTAGAGAACATATATCGGGCTTTCCCTTTGTGTTCGTCATTTTGGTTAATTACTGGAAGATGGCGGTTCTGGTGGTTCCAATCTTTTCTCTGTCATTTACCAGTTGTGTGACCCTATCTTGCTGAGCCTGTTTCATCTATAAAAATAGATAGTAATATGAACCTTCCAGGATTTTTGTAAGGATTAAGTGTGATGTAAGATCTTGTTCACAATGTCTGTCATTCTGTCAGCACTTGGTAAATGATAGTCAATCTTTTTCTGAAATTTTCCTCCTTTTTTTTCTGCTGAAAATACCAAAATTATTTTGTATAGAGAAGTCTTTGAATCAGTTATCTTTCATCTAGCCGAAGTGCTGAAAAGTGGCATGTATGTATTAAGCCCATCTTTGTTTCATCACTGCAATTCAAAATAATTAGAGTTGTAGTTATTGGACAAAAGTAAAGGCAAATATGGGCACTGAAATCTTGTGGCATGGCTTTGTTATGAAGTAATTATACAAATGATACAGAATACATTTATATTAAGCATTTTTAGATTTACATACAAACAAAAATAGGAAAATTTTACATTCTCGTGGGTGTAACTACTGAAATGATGATCCATGAAGTTCGGTGTAATAGATATCACATTCTAGAAGTATAGTTCCCCCAAGTATGGTTTGGCAGTCAAAGTACAATTTGAAAGCAATTCTTCACTCATATTCTTAAAGAACATTAAAGGTGATTCAGTTTAAATCCACCAATATTTCTCAGATCTCCTTTTCACTCGCTCTCCATCTTTTCTTCTCTCTCTCTTGGTATAATATCAAGGAATATCCACAATTATCTGAAAAGGCCCTTTAACATACTCTTCCCTCTTCCAACTACATATTTGGTGTGAGATCAGATCTTACACTTTCTTTTTTTGGCCAGAGGTGCATGTGCTAGCTGGAGAGAGACAGAAAGAGAGAGAGGGAAAGTGAGAAAGCATCCCCCACAGGGCGTGGTCACACTGCAATCCATTCTTTGCCATTTCTCCCTCCTTGCAGGATTTTGGGCACATACACACATGCCTGATATGTTTTATTTTTAAGCTGCCAGGTCCGTGGCTTGAAACATGTGGTCAGCCATGTGAGATCAAGCTGACTTAACCACAAAGCCAAGCTGGCTTTCCTTTTCACTTTTCTTTAACCGCCAATGAACCTGCATTAAAATAGTTAATTCCACCAAGTAGCAATTTCAGAATAAAATATCATTGCATTAACTTAACGTTTAATTAAAATTAAATCTGGTTTATAGTTTGGTTTAGAAAGCATATTTATTTTAGTTTTATGACTATCTAAAAGCTGTAAGAGTAAGTATATCCTATGTCTTTGTAGATATTTAAGTAACATTGTAATTAAAAGTGTGAATGGACACTGTTGGTTCATGAGAATTTTCTCTCTGGAACAAAGACAGCTCACTTAAACTTCTTAAAAAAGAATTACTTATTTAATTATTATTATTTTTTAATTTGATGAGAAAGAGAGAGAGAAAAAAAGTAAGAAAGCAAGCCACCAGGTCTGGGACTTGAACCACAGTTGGCCATGTGGGAGTATAGTACCTTAACCACCATGCCACCTGCCAACCTCAGCTCACTCAAAGTTAAGAAAGTAGCTCTATAATGCTGCCAGAGGGATCTTTCTAAATCACAATAATTGTCTCTATCCTGATTAAATTTCCTTAGTGCTTTCCTTAGTCTTTAATTTACTTAACAAAATGTAACCTACTTTACATGGACTATATACCTTTCCTTTTCTTGTTAGCCTCATCAACTTCTACCTCCTACCTTATTTTTTTCCCTCCCTCTTTTCATGTTATACTCCAGGTAAACTGAACTCCTACTTTTCTGCCTCTGTGCCTTTGCATGTATGATTCTCTGATGAACTCACATTCCCTTCCTTACATTGGTCTGACAAACTCATCCTTTAGTATTGTCCTCTCTGACTTCCCCAGGTAGACTTATGGATACAATCTATGTCTGCCTTTACACTTTATTAATTTATGTATATAGTCAATAATTAACCATGGAAGTGAAGGTGGGAGTGAATATTACATAAAGGTTAAAAGTATTGGCTCTGACATCAAATTGTCTGTTTGTTGCCTCTTTCACCTCCCAAATATGTGACTCTTGGTAAATTGCTTACCCTTCCTATGCCCTAGCTTTCTCATTTATAAATGAGGGAATTAGTATAATACCTACCTGTTAAGGTTTTTATGCAGATTTAATTTTTTTATGGAACCAAGCATAGTCCCTGGCAGATAGCAAACATTTATAGAATATCTATAATGGATGGACACAGAACATACTTTAAATATGGTGGCTAGGTAAAACCTTTAGGAGGACATATTTAAGTTGGCCTGAGAATGAAAAGAAGACAGCTTCTGA